ATACTGGTGAGAACCCGTATCAATGCTTTAGTTACTTATTGATGATTATTCAACATCATTTATTAATAATTCATACTTGTGAAAAGCCCTACAAATGTAAAGTATATGGGAAAGCTACATGTTTTGGGCATCACAGAATTCATACTGGTGAGAAACTCTATAAATGTAATGAATTTAGAAAGGCCTTCACTTTTTATTTTTGAGTTGGAGTCTCACTCTGTTGCTGCCCAAGATGGAGTGCGGTAGCATGCTCACATCCACCACAGCCTCAACCGCCTGGGCTCAGGCTGTCCTTCTACCTCAGCCTTCCAAGTAGCTGGAACCACAGACATGTGTCTACATCCAAATGACAAAATTACTTTTGTGGTTTACTGTAGTCAAGTGTAAAAAAGACACTGTTGTAATAGCAGTGTTTTGTTGTGTTTTTAAAGCTTAAGTTTAAACACCTCTGACAAATCCTTTAGCCCAAGGCTTGAAGGAATTGTCTGGAGTCCTGAAATGTGTTATTTTGATTTTTTACAGGGACTCATGTGAACAGTTCTTGAAATATGTTTGTTACCCTGAGTTTACATTGAAATGATGTCACCAATATAATTTTTTCATTTTTTTCTTTATTCTTCCACCCATATATAGTCTATGAGAATTTCTGAACAGAATAAAAGCAATACTATCTTCCAAAATTTAAGTTTTAGGATAGTGATCGGCAAGATCAGAATGAAGTCACTATAGCAATCTATTATCCACTACTGTTTCAGTCATTCTTGTTCTGTGACACTGTTCTTCCATATGATACAAACAAAACAATGCTCAAGTGACTGTATCAGTCAATTGCTTATATAGATGTGTTCAACTATATGTGAAGGAGGATACTCCTTCCAAATATATTTTTATGTTAACAACTACTTTGATGCCTCATATTAATATCTTTGTATTTTCCACATATTATGTCATAATTTGGTATATGATATATTTTATGTAGTCTAAGGTGATAACTCATTTTGTTTAAATTTTCTTTGTAGTTTTTCCCTTTATCTTTTTTAAAAAAATTTTTATGATTCCAGTTACCTGCCTTTTAGATTTATTAGTTATGTTAAAAATATTTGTTATGTTAGGGATTGCTTTAGGGTTTATAGCATACATCTTTAACATAGGACAGTCTTCCTTCAAATCTATTATACCATTTTATATGTAGTATCAAAGACTTAAACTAGGATAATTCTATTTCTCTCCTCCTGACATTTTTGCTATTATTGTCATACATTTTTATCCATGTTACCTTATAAATATAAATCTCAAAATAGTTCATTATATGTTTTCTCTAGGGATCTTTCTTGGTATATTTAAATAAGAAGTTTTTCAGGATGGATGCAATGGCTCATGTCTGTAATCCCAGCACTTTGGGAAGCCAAGACAGGAAGACTGCTTGAGGCCAGGAGTTTAAGACCAGCCTAAGCAACATAGCGAGACTCTGTCTCAAGGAAAAAAAAATTTTTTTTTTTTTTTGAGTTGGAGTCTCACTCTGTCGCCCAGGCTGGAGTGCAGTGGCCGCTCCCGGCCACCGCAGCCTCGACCTGCTGGGCTCTGGCGATCCTTCTGGCTCAGCCTTCCAAGTAGCCGGAATTACAGGCATGCGCTACCACGCCCGGCTGATTTTTTGATTTATTGTAGAGATGAGGTCTCGCTGCCCAGGCGGGTCTCGAACCCGCGGGCTCAGGCAATCCACTCACCTCAGTCTCCCAAAGGTGCGGGATTCCAGGCTGAGCCACCGAGCCCAGCTGGAAAAATTTTTAAAAATTAGCCAGACATGGTGGCACACATCTGTAGTCCCAACCACACGGGATGCTGAGGTAGAAGGATTGCCTGAGCCCTAGAGTTGGAGGCTGTAGTGAGTAGTGATCATGTCACTGCACTCCAGCCTAGGCAACAGTGAGACCCCTACAACAAATCATATGTATCCACGCAAATTTTTTTAATTCCAAATTTTCATCTGGTATCACTTTATTCTTTCTGAAGGATTTCCTTTAACATTTATTTTAATGTAGGCTTACTTTGGCTACATTTTATTTATTTTGAGTTAGAGTCTCATTCTGTTGTCCAGGCTGGAGTGCAGTGGCACACTCATGGCCACCACAGCCTCCACCTGTTGGGCTCAGGTGATCCTTTTGTCTCAGCCTTCAAGTAGCTGGAATACCAGGAGCGTGTCACCATACCTGGATAACTTTGTATTATTTTTTTAATTGTAGAGATGATGTCTTGCAAAGTTGCCAACGCTGGTCTTGAACCCCTGAGGCTCAGGCAATCTTCTCACCTCTGACTCCCAAAGTGCTGGGATTACAGGCATGAGCCACCATGCCTGGCTTAATTTTCTGAATTTTATTACTTTTTGTATTACTATTTTACCTTCAGTTCTAAAGAATATTTTAACCAGGCATAAAATTCTAGATTTACATTGCTTTTTCCAGACTTCAAGAACTATCCCAGTATCCACTAGAAGCATCTTTCTGTTCCCTTACCAGGGTGTTAAATCCTGTCATACAGTGACTACATTGCAACAAACTCTCCCTTATACAATTTTATGTTCTACCCCTTGATTCGGTATTTTCAGGATCTCCTCTGAGGTATACTCTTCTGGTTTTTGCTAGCATATTATAGTTCCTACAGCTCCTTTGGTGTCTGAATCCATCCCTTACCATAGCGGTCTCAGCATTTCCGTGTTTTGGTATTGCTGAAGTTTGACCCATTACTGCATTGGGGAAATATCTTGTTGCGGGCAAGCATTGTTTTTAAAGCTGCTGGCTTCATGGAAGATAACATAATGTAATCTCTGCAAAGGAGAAACAAGAAGAGAAGACATACAGGGTACAGGGAAATCTGGGACTTCAAGGTTCTAAAATGTATGTGCTAAGAACTCTATATCATGAATCTCCGAAGAGTCTCCTTCAGCAAGTCTTTCCTCTTAAAACAGAAAGCAAGGAAAGGGTGCCTACATTGATCACTTCCATTCAACATTGTTCTGTAGGTCACATGATAATTACAGTAAGATGAGAAAAAAAAGGCAATATAATAACCAGAAGTGAATAAACTGAATTGTTTCTTACCAAAAAAAAAAAAAAAAACCCTAAGAAATCAGTAAGACAACTCCAAGAATGAGTTAAGTGACATTTTCAAGAAGACAGGATACAAGGTAAGTGTACAAAACTCATTTACATTTTCATATATGAGTAGCAAACAACCAGAAAAATAAACATAAGACAAACCAATTCAGTTTACATGTTGTGAAAATATCTACAAATAAGTTTTAAAAATATGCAAGACTTCTATACAGAAAACTACAAGGTATTGGTAAGAGAAATTAAAGGAAACTGAAGCAGAAAGTTATGCTAAGGTTAGACTGAAAATCACTTCTGTTGAAGTGTCAGTTATTTTCAAATTGAACTACAGATTCCATGTAATCTCAATTGTATTACAAACAGGCTTTTTGATAGAAATTGATGGTGACTAAAACTTAGAAAATGCAAATGAGCTGGGGTTGCTATAACAATTTTTTAAAAGAGCAACAAAACTGGAGGATTTATACTATCTAATTCCAAGACTTCCTCTAAAACTTATAATGAAGACTGTGGAACTTCAAAAAAGACAAATAGACTGATAAAACAGAATAGATTTTAGAAGTACACCCAAACATAAATGGCTAACTGATTTCGAGAAAGGCGCTGATACAATTTAAGGGAGAAAATGAATATCCAAAAAACGATGTCAGAATGGGGCAATTATATTGGGAGGGAATACATGTTAACCCTTGCCTTTTCACATTATACGTAAGAAAAAACTTGAAATAGAGCTAACTATAAATGGTAAAACTACAAAATAGCTAAAGAAAACATGCAAGAAATTCTATGAGGCTCAGCATGGGCAAATATTTCTTATATAAAAGATTAAAAAATGTGATTAATTGGATGTTATCAAATTCAAAACTTTATCACTATTATGTAAGTTAAAGGGCAAGATACAGATAGTAGAAAATGTTTCCAAAATCTAGCAAACCATTCCAATTCTCGCAACTGCATACTAAGAGAAAAAAACCTAATTTTAAAAATAATCAGCAAAAGATTTTGACAAAAACTTCACAGAAAAGTACAGCCAAAAAGTTCATAAACAGATTCTCAATAGCAATAGTCATTAGAAACTGCAAATTTAAACTGCAATGAGGTATCATTTCATAAAAACTAAAATAGCTTATGTTAAAGACTGATAGTAGAATGTGGAATAAGAAATAACACTTTGAGTTGTCATGATTTGCTAGCATTTTTCATTACACATTCTACAATGTCAATTATGGTGAGAGCTGCATCTAAAGGACCTCCCATACTGATTGCACTTAAGGGTTAATAATATGAATAGTATGAATTCTATTATGTTGACAAAGTGTTGAGGAAGTATTAAAGGCACCCCCACAGGCATAACATTTATAGGGTTTCTCTCCACTGTGTTCTCTTATGAGTAACAAGAGAGGAGTGGACACTGAAGGCTTTTCCACATTCCTTGCATTTATAGGGTTTCTTTCCACTGTGTGTTCTTTTATAAGTAACAAAGGAAGAATGGGCACTTAAGGCCTTTCCACATTCCTTACATTCATAGGGTTTATCACCAGTATGAATTCTGTGCAGAGAAAGCTGCATAATACAGCAAAAGGTCTTTTTGCAATCCTTACACTGATAGGGTTTTTCTCTAGTGTGAACCTCCAATGTTCAATCAGGGAAGAGAGGCATACAAAGGATTTCTTACGTTTACTGCACTCATAGGTTTTTCTCCAGAATGAGTTTTCTGATGTCTAATGAGTTGTGCATTTTGAGTGAAGTCTCTGCCCACACTCCTTACATTCATAGGATTTTTCTCCACAATGAATTCTGCGATGATCAACAAGGTCTGAGTAATGGCTTTTCACATTCGCTGTATTCATGGAACTTTCATGGAACTTCCTCTCTCTTTCTCTCTCTCTCTCTCTCTTATGTGTACTCTGATGCTGGGTGAGATGAGTCATCTGACTGAACATTTTCCTACATTCTTTACATTCTTAGGGTTTCTCACTTGTGTGAATTCTCTCATGCTGGGTGAGGTGTGCCCCCTGATTGAAGGTTTTACTACAGTTATCACATTTATAGGGTCTCTTTTCTGTGTGGATTCTTTGATGTTGAATGAGAGTTGATCAAAGAGTGAAGTGTTTCCCACAATCTAAACAATGATTGCATTTCTTTCGTATATGATTTCTCTGATGGAGAATTAGTTGAGTACTGTGAAAGTAAACATTTCCACATTCTTTACATGTATTTTTTGTACATTTTATTTCTGTGTCAAACTGAGATAATACTTCTTTAATAGCCTCTTTGTAGATAACTCCTTAATCTCTCCACCTGACTCATCTGAAAGGAGAAAAATATCAAAAAATAGAAACAAATTAAACTACTTAATACACATGCCTTTCACCCTTTCAATTTCACCACTGGGAATCTATTCAATAAATAAAGATACCAGTTTTTAAAGATATACTGATAAGAATGCTTATTGAAATAAGCTTTAGCTGAGGTGGAAAGATCGCCTAACCCCAGCGGGTCAAGGCTGCGGTGGCCGTGAGCGTGTCACTGCACTCCAGCCTGGGCGACAGAGTGAGACTCCAACTCAAAAAAAAAAAAAGAAAAGAAAGAAGTTTTATATTGGAAATAACCTAGGTATCCCTCAAAATTAATCATAGTGTATCTATACTGAGATTATTACTTGGCTATTAAGAAAAGACTGCTAAGTTTTCCAACCTGCAGGATCATTCATTAAGTGAAAAGAACAAAGTGAAAACTTGTGTGTTAAGTTATATATCAAGTTTCAAAACACAGAAAGGTAAAAGAATATATTAACCTGAGGAATTACTGTGTCCAACTCTGGGACACAGAATGCATCTCCAATTATTTTAATATAGAAACAATTTGACGTAACATAGAAACAGTAAAATTAAGCATATAATCAAGGTCAAATGGGGTATGAATTCTTAGTGATATAGATATTGTGAGATTGAAGAGATCACTAGGTACACATGAGAAATAAGACTAAAGAGTCGATTGAAGGCAAAAAGGAAAAGGTTGTAAAGCCTTAAGGAAACATATCATGTGGAATCACAGATCCCAAAATGTTACAGGAAGGCTGATCAATGTCACCAAAAATTAAAGAAAGGCAAAAGGATTTTCCACAATGAACAGAAGTAGTAACCTTCCAACCTGTAGTTATTTTTACTATTTAGGAACTCATGGATCCTAAGATAAGAAAGACAATAAAATAATGAAAGTTGAAAAAAAATATAAGATGGTGGTGGGCATAGAATGGTAACAAACAACAGACAGGCAGAAGGCAACGTGGAATACAAGCACACAGACCCATGCACTCACTATTCCCACATGGTACTACAAGTGAAGAGATCTGTAAACAACGCCAATTGAAATCATTTTTTAGAAAATTCTAAAGTTCTTACACTTTCCACCCTCAAGAGCCAACTGAATTGAGTTCTTACATTTCCACCCTCATGAGCAAGCTGGATTGAGTTCTTCCGCTTTCCACCCTCATGAGCCAGCTAGCAGTAAGAGTGAGAACAGAACCTCAGTTATGGAGGATGACTGCTGAGTTCTGGCTTGTTCCTGCTGCACTAAATATATAGGTATCCCACTGCACTGATTCTAGACTGAACTGTGTACACAGATAGTAGAGACAGTTAAGCTTATAAAAGGTACAAGGACTGGTTTTACAAGGCATCTCTACCACAAAGGCCCAAAGGTTTCTAAAATGAACCCAAATAACGATTATTACCAAATGTGATGATTCAAGCTCATTATTTGATGTCACAGCCCAATCCATTAAGCAGAAATATCCCCTTTACCAAGAACCATAGATTAGTCAGTGTTTTCTTACTATGTTATCTTGATCTTATTTTGGTTAACTTTTCTTCCTGAATAGTGAAGTCCTAGAATTCTAACACAGGACTTTCCTTTTTCTCCTACTGCTAACCAGTCTTTCTCTATCCACAGGTAATCCATTTCTTCCATTCTTACGTTTCTATCACCAGTAAATATATGAAATACACATTTATCTCCAATTCTGAATTTATTTATTTTTTAAATTTTTTTGAGTTGGAGTCTCACTCTGTCGCCCAGGCTGGAGTGCAGTGGCATGCTCACAGTCACTGCAGCCTCAACCTGCTGGGCTCAGGTGATCCTCCCACCTGAGCATTCCAAGTAGCTGGAACTACAGGCGTGTGCCACACACCCAGCTAATTTTTTGATTTATTAGAGAGATGTGGTCTTACCAAGCTGCCCAGGCTGTTCTCGAACCCATAGGCTCAGACAACCCTCACACATTGAAACAACCAATTTTGATGCTTCCAATTATTGATTCTACTTTTTAAAGCAGGATTTATTGAGAGAACAGAAAAACTGCCACAGAGGGAGGGGACTCCAGGGGGTTGCCCATGTTTTTATACTTTTAAATAAGCTCAAAAAAGAATTAACATAGCAGGTCTGAGGCTGCTTGTCCTGCCACAGTGGAGTCATAGACAGTGCTAACTCCTCCCAGCAATGATGTCTACTTGCAAAGATCCACTAGCAAAGTTGGCCCTTGAATGGTCCCTAAGGACCTTGGATTTCAGAAGGATTCCTGCCATTCCCAGAACTGACACAAGCAACTCACTGTGCCCTAAATCCTCTGCACAGGTGGTGTGATTTATGCTAAACACTTGCTTTCCTTCTGAGAATCTGGAATTTTAGCATGTGGCAGGCAAAGAGAACCTTGTGACTTGTCGCCAGTAAAACCTTTTGGCACTGAGTCTCTAATGCTATCTAGCAGCCAATATCTCACACATATCACACAATGTGCGGCTAGAGGAATTAAGCACATCCTGGTTGGCTCACTAGGAGAGGACTCTTGGAAGCAAGCATCTGATTTCCTCCAGACTTTGCCCCATGAGCTTTTTCCTTTGGCTGACGTTGCTAAAATAAATCTTAGCCATTGTATAGTAAAGAATTTAACTTTTTTCAAAGGGAGATATAGCCCTTTCTCTTAGTTCCTGTAATCTCAGACCCCTCAGAATATCCTGCCTGATAAAAGTATCTCTATTTACCTAGGGGTCTTGGAATACACCAGAAAGTCAAACAATATGTGATTTATGTGGGGCTCTGGATGACGTGGTTATCAATGTGACCTCCAGAGAGGCTAAACACTGAGGTGAGTCACATGAGCAGTCAACCACATCTACATGATGGAGCCCCAATAACAATTCTGGACACCGGAGGTCAGATAGGCTTCCTTGGTCAGCCATCTTCCATGCTCACTGTCATACATCATTGTGAGGAGGAGTTAATATTCCCCATGACTTCACTGTGGGAGGACAAATGGAAGCTCTACACTTAGAATCCTCCTGGACTCTTTCTGTATGTCTCTTCCCTTGGTTGACTTCAATGTGTATACTTTCATTGTAATAAACTGTAACCATGAGTATAACAGTTTTCAGTGAGTTCTGTGAGCCCTTCTAGTGAACTATCAAACCCAAAGGAGACCCTTGAATTTGCAATTAGTGTCAGAAGTCAGGGTGGTCTTGGGGACCCCAAACTCTGCAGCTGGCATCGGTACAAGGGTGTTCTTGTGGACTATTCACTGACTCTGCAGGCATGAACTCAACTATATGCTAAGTCCTGTGACTACACCTACCTAGTGAATCACTGAACTTGGGGGTGATCTTGGGGACCCTCAACAGTTGGCCAGTTTCAAAAAAAGAAATGCATGTTTGTTAATGAATAAATAATCAGTGAATATATCCACTCAAAAAATCAGACAACTATATACGTCACTTACATTAAAGAAACCACAGTTATCAAAGAATGGTGTTCTGTAAAAATATAGAGCCTTACAACAGACCAAATAAAAAAAGGATAAGCTGGTAAGAAGCAGGATCCTGAATTTAAAAGCAACTTTACCATGGACAAGGATGAAAGATATAGTTACACTTTCTGAGGCCAGAGGCATTTATAAAAGTAGATATATACGTTCGGTGATCAACATCTCCTTGGGAACTCAGAGTCAAGGAGCCTCAATTTCTACACATGCATGGAGTACCAGAAAAGAGCAACTTTCACACCTTAGAGATGCTTTGCCCTCTAGAACCAGCAGGTCTTTCATATACATGGCTTACCCATAGTTGGTTCCTCTTACCCACCTGGTAATGGGTTTCTTATCCCTTTTTTTCCTATCATCCAGGGCAGTTTCCTATGCTCCAACAGTGAAATCACAGACTTAGAAATGGAAAGGCCTGTGAAAATAAACAGAAAGGATTGGCCATGTTGTAGTTACTCAAGTATTCTGACATAGCAACACTGTAATCAGGATATAAGCCATCAAACAACAACATTTTAGAGGAGTATCTGACACATAGGATAAAGAAAACTGCTCATTCCAATGTCCACATTTCATGGAAAATTCAGAACTTCACCAAAGATTCCAAGTAGAAAAAAAGAAGACATATCCAAGAATAGAGGCTGAATTAAGGACTCAATTCACTTACCTAGCCAGACCAGATTATGATAATTCAACATCACAGTTGTGTACAAATCTCTCTGAGCAGGGTTCAGGAATTCCCACTCTTCCTTAGAGAAGTCAATGACTACATCTTGGAATGTCACTGATCCCTGAAAAGACAAACATTTTCTTAGAAGATGCCAGGTAATGAACTGGAGGTTGGGAAGCATGTTAAGAAGCTGATCAGAACTCAAAAAAGCAGCTTAAGACACCAAAGGACACTACTGTAGTATACTGTTTATTAAAATTTGAGTATAGAAAAATATTTAATAAGAACAAAGTTCATGATAAACAGGATGACTCAAAAAGAATCAAATTTTAAATGTGTTACTCAGAGATTATATATATCCATGGGTTCAAAACCAATTTGTAAGAGAATCATCACAGTTGTTTCTATAATTGTATATATACATAATATGACCACACAATTACTTTGTTGAAAGTCACTCATGATCAATTCTACCATGGATTTTTAGTGTGAATACCAAAAAAAATCACTTTTTGGCTGAAATAAAATGTAGTCATCTTTCCTTGAATCTGGGTTGACCCTACCATTTGCTTTAACCAAAAGAATGTGACAGAAGTGATGCTGCCAGTTACAGGTCAAAACCTTTGGAAGGTCTCTCTTCTTCTGTTTTGGCCTCAAGAGGGCTCAGAATCATATAAGAAGAAAAGCCAATGAGAAGAGGCCAACAGAGAGGGAGAGACTCTAAAACTATATGGAATAAAACTGAAGAATCCAACTAACAGCAAAAAATAGAGGCCCAGATACATGACCCTGGCTATTTTAGCTAAGTATAAGATATGTGAATGAAGAAGCCATTTTGAGCACTCAAGCTCCAGCAGACATCATAGGAACACAGATTAGTCATTCCTACCTAACCCAGTTTGAATTTCTTACCCACAGAATCATAGGAAATAAAGTTGTCTTTGCTCTAACTGCTACATTTTAGGATGGTGTTTGTAGTGTTCTGAAAATTGCACTAGATGTACTATTATTTCATCTTATATGCCTCTATCAGGGCCTGCAACAGGAACAAGGAGTATGGTTTGGTCTTCAGCTGCTTATGAAGAACAAGTTGGGACATGGACTAAGGACACCTAGCTCATTGTTAATATTCCTTTCCAATATCCTGGAATTTCATCAATTCATAATACAACTATGATTAATAATTACTTCAATCATATACAATTGCACTATTGCAGGAGTCCAGCTTCAGCAGGGCCAGAGATTCCTGGAGGAGAAAGGGCGTCGGCGACTAGAGGGAAGAAAGGGGGAAGAAAGAAAGTGGACTCCTGTTCAAGGTTGAGCAGAAGTCGTTTACTGAGTGTTATCCAAGGGCTTTTATCCCCAAATTTTGCAAAGTCATCATCACAGGACACAAAAGGTAGCATGTGCCTTTCACATGAACAGGTCCAGGTGCACAAAGGATACCCCCCACTCTCAAGCAAATGTTTTTTCCTACATAAGGAAGAATATGAGGAAGAACATGAGGAAGAACAACCACAAATTGTCTTTTTGTTTCTTATGCTTGCTTAATGTTCCCCAAACCAGTTTCTTATGTATCCTTAACTGTATTACAACTACATCATCTTGAAATAACATCACTCAATGTCTAAACCTGAAACCACCATAATGAATTATTAACTTCTACTATTCTGTACTAATTCAAACTAGTTTCTATTAAAACAACTGCTGCTATGGTTACACTCTCCTAACACCAGCTGGCCTAATTCAAACTTCACTGGCCCCCCTGAATCAAACTAAACTAACCACGCTTCTACAATAAAATGGTTACTTAAATTTTCTTCAATCTATATAAACTATTTTCTAAAACCTATATCTATAAATTTCTAAAATCACATCAAGAGAACATATGACCTGCACTAAGGCTCCTCAATGTGACTCAAAATTGAACTTAAATTGTTTAAAAGCAAAAAGCATAAACCATGGAAAATGGGAACAAGAGACTCCCAAGTTAGCTGTGTTCGTTCCGGTTTCAGAGTCCTCTGTTAGAGCCAGCAGGAGCCTCTTCTGGTTGCAGTGCCAAGTGGAAAAGGAGGAAAGGAATGGGGTCAACAGCTCCCAAACACATCCTAGTGGTCTCGGGGTCAAGGGCCCTTCCTGATCCCTAACGCTCAGGGAGCCTCTGTGGCTGGCTCCCAACACACTATGCTGTCCTTTTCAGATATATCTTTGCACTATCTGTTTGTCACAATAGCCTGTAAGGTTGGAAGCCATCAAAAACTTTATAGTACTGACCATCAGGCAGAAAGGTTTCTCTTTTCTCACTTTAATATGGGGTTTAAGAAACATTCTGCATGAATGGGTGTCCTACTTGTATACATTCTTATCACAATATAATATGTATACCAAAAATGGCATACAACATTAAGTGTACAACATGATGAATATTCACAAAACAATCCACCCCTGTAAGGAGAGCCCTGTTTAGGAAACTGAATATTACCAGCACTTCCAAGATTCCCTAGTACTGCTTCCAGACACTATCACCTCTTACTATCTTGAAATCTGTCACCATAGATAAGGAACACTACATTATTTTTAATGAACAATTTTTCTTGATATCTTCAAATGCTGACATTTTTTCTGTCTTTTATTTTCTGTTTTTAAAGAGACAGGGATCTTGCTATGTAGCCCACGTTGGGGTGCACTGAGTATTCATAGGTGCGATCATAACACACTATGGCTCTTAAATTCCTGGGCTTGGCTGGGCTCACTGGCTCAGCCTGCAATCCCAGCCAGCACTTTGGGAGGCCAAGGCAAGTGGATTGCCTGAGCCTGTGGTTTCAAGACCAGCTTGGGCAATTTGGCGAGACCTTGTCTCTACAATAAACAGAAAATTGACTGGGTGTGGTAGCACATACCTATAGTTCCAGCTATTTGGAAAGCTAAGGCAGAAGATCGCCGGAGCCCAGCAGGTCAAGACTGGGGTGGCCATGAGTGTGCCACTGCATTCCAGCCCGGGTGGCAGAGTGAGACTCCAACTCAAAAAAAAAAAAATTTCCTGGCTCAAGTGACTCTCATGCCCCAGTCTCCCAAGTAGCTGGGACTACAGGCATGTGCCACTGTACCCAGCTGCCAGTATTTTTCTATATCTTCTAAAGTATCACAAAAAGACACATACAGGTTGAATATATTCCTAATCAGAAATGCTTCAAAATTCTTCAGAAATGCTTCAAAATGCTTCAAAACTTTTTGAGTGCTGATATGCTCCTCAAAGGAATTGATCACTGGAGCATTTTAGATTTCAAATTTAGAATGTTCAACCAGTAAGTATAATACAAATATTCCAAAATCTGATATACTTCTGATCCCAAGCATTTCAATAAGGAATACAATAATGCTCATAGCAGTTTTATTTGTAATAACCAGAAATCCAGAAACAACTCAAATGTCTATCAACAGGAGAATGGATAGACTGTAGTATAGTGACACAATGGAACACTTCAGCAAAAAATAACACTGATGAATCTCAAGAAACATTACATTAAATGGAAAAAGCCAGACACACACCTACATACTATTTGATTCAATTTATATGAAGCCAAAAGGAAGAAAAGCAAAACAAATTGCCATAAAAATAAGAAAATGATTTTCTCTGATAGCTGGAGCAGGGAAAAGGGCATGAAAAAACTTTTGGGCCTGATGGACATCTATCTTGATTTTCATGGTGGTCACAAGGCTTTAATAATTGCCCCAAAGCATCAAACTGCACACTTAATATTTGTGTGTTTTATTTGTAAGTTATACCTCAATTACAATGATAACACACAAAAACATCAACAGAGTAGGAAAGCACTGGAAGCATGGAGCAAATGGAATAAGAATTGGTGGTTAAAAGAAACCTTAGGCACAAATATTCTATGTCAACATACAATATAGGAACAGTAAAGTGGTAAAAGTGTTTTTTTCCTATATGGTGGGTATATGACTTTTAAAAACATTTTTATAGTTTTTTATTTTAAAATTCATTAATATAATTTAACAATTTTATGCATAGCTTGAGTTACAGCAAATAGCATGTGGAATGAAAATACTGTCTCTTTTCTTAATATAAATGTTTCCTTTTTGAGAAGACAATCTATTTTCAAATAAAATGCCTTGTTGTCTACGCTTTGCAGGCTGAAAAAGAATCAAACCTGTTTGTTCTTGCATAGAGTTTCAGGGCCCATGCAAGCACCCTGCACAGAACTCTATTCCGGGAAACATAGCCAGCTCATCCATCTTCATCCTTGCAGCATATTTCTTGCTCATTTATCAAGACCTGATAGATAGGCTATTCCCCTGAATTCCACAAATGAAGACTGTGACATCATCTTCAGCTGTCCAACCCCAAACAGGACCCTGGGAACCTACACTTCATCTTTCACCGATGCCTCCAGTAATGTTCTGATTTTGTTAACCTGGACTTCCATGCACTAGACACCACTCACATTCCTATTCCCAAAACTTTCCAAAGGCAGACTGTGCCATTACTGAGACTGAAAAACCCAACAGCATTTTCTATCTTGCCTTCTGTCAGTCCCAAAGCTGTGAAGAAGGTAAAAAATGACTGAGCATTCACCTTTACTTCGAGATGAAGTAAAGACTCTCATCTTTTCCTCTGGAAAATGTTTCTTTGACCTTAAAATAGTGTTTAGAAGAAGACTGGCCACAGTGAAGATCCAGAATAATTTGCTGAATGAATAAATGAAATGTAAAAAAGATGGACAGAGAAAAGAGGCCCCTACAGCCCCATCTCCTACTGAATAAAAAGCCGAGGCCTTGTCCTTGTCAGTCTCTATTACCCAAGCAAGTTTCATGAAGCGCAACTAGTTGTTTCTAGAATTTTAGACCCATGATGTTGCAGGAAACAAAGATAAAACAAAAACTTACCTGTGACATGGCTAATGCCCACTGTGCTGGAACAGTGTCCCCACTAGTGACAGAGTTGAGAATGCAGAACTAAGGACAAGGAAAGAAGCCCGAGATTAGATTCTTGAACGCAATGCCACTCATTTTCAACCATGTTCCTGTACAAACTCCAAGAAAGACAGGTGTCACTGCCAAAATACAACACCATTTAGTGTGCAGGGTTAGTTCTCAAATACGAGGGGGAGTCCCCCGAAAACGGTCAGAATTTATTTATAAAAATTGTGTACTCACTCTTACATGCTTAAACTTTAGTCACCATACAAGTACTTCCTGTTTGATGTACAACTATCAAGACACTTTTTCCATCGCTCAAAACAATTTTTGGATTCATTAATTTTTGATGCCTTTTAGCGCTTCTGTCGTTTTTTGTGTCATCTCTTTCACATCAGCAAAATGTTTCCCTTTAAGGACTTTTTTCATCGGGGAAACAAACAAACAAGCAAAAGTCTCTCGGGGCGAGATTGGTTAAACAGGGAGGGTGGGGCACAGGGGTCTTGCTGTTTTTGGTCCAAAACTACATAAGACTCAGCGCGGTGTGGGCAGGTGTGCTTGCACATCATCCATCATGAAATGGGCACTGAAAGAACCCCCCAAAATATCTTGGAGGCGGAGCGCAGCCTCTCTCGGTGAGTCCACAGACGCCCGTGGGCTCCTGGAACACGGTGAGTTCTCCGTCCTCCATTAGCAATTCCGGGCTTTGGGGCCTCCTCGCTGGTCGTGGGGCCTCCTCGACGCTCCGGGGCCTCCTCTGGGACCCCCGCCCAGGCACGCACGACCTCACTCCCACACGGACGCAACACCAACCTCATAACGGTCCATGCCGCGCGTGGCGCGGGGCAAACACGGCCCGAGCAGGGAAACGCGGCCAAGTGGCCACTTCAGGCCTCGCCCGCGGGAGGCGCCAACCACAAGGCCCACGCGCCCCGGGGGCTTCTGGGAGTAGCGAGGAACACACACACACACACACACAC